CCTTGGTAGCATCAGCTCTCCCAATCAACCCACTGAAAGCCCAAAGGATGTTCTCCCCTGTCCCACAGATTACACCTCCAATTCCTACTTGGCCAGTAGATCCTTGGGCACTTCCATCAAAGCTTAGAGTTATCAGATTCTCCTTACTGGAGCAGAAAGTTTGAGTAAAAGCGCACCCAGGAGAGGTGTAAAGAACTTCTGCTAAATTTCTCTGGATGTCATTTAAGGAAATACCATTGAATTCATCACTAGTAGTAGCCCAAAGGTTGCATAGGAAAGTAAGGTGAGAGATCAGGTCTTTGAAATTCCTGGCTTTGTTTTCAAAGGTTCTGAAGTTCCTTTCTTCCCAAACACCCCACATTACTGCATGAACCACCATGATCCAATAAATCTTACCCCTGCTTCCTAGTCCTTTGCTATGCCACTGTTGCAGTAGATCAAGAATTTGTTCAGGAAAGACCCAGTTGTACCCCCACTAAGTTGAGGAAGAAACACCAGATCTTCCTTGTTAATGAATAATGCAGGAATAGGTGCTCCACTGTCTCACCATTGTTGAGGCAGAGAGGGCAAATGTGGGGAGAGATGCATCTGTCTCTAAGCTGCTTCTGCAACACATCACAGGTGTTTAGTTTCTTTAAGCAGGCCTCCCAAACGAAAAAGGAGACTCCAGAGGTATATGAGAAGACCAAACTTTCTTGACTGGGAAGGTGGTGTCCTGACCATCCAAAACTAGAGCCTTGAAAAAGGAGTTAGTAGTGAACATGCCATTTGGGTTAGGTTTCCAAATCTGAAGGTCAGGAGTAGTGGGGGAGATATAGGCCTCTCTTAGAGTGTTTACAAGGTCTGTTATTTCTGCAAGTTCTACCTCTCTCAGGGACCTTCTAAGGTTTAAATTCCAATTAGTGCCCGAAGGGGAGGAGCTGAGACAAGTGGAAACAGTGGCTTCTTGGGATTGGGAGAGGTTAAGGATTCTGGGGAAAGAGAGTGTAAGTGAAAGGTCAGTCCAAAACTGGTGGAAGAGATACCTTTCCAAGGAGTGGTTGCTTTTACCCGAGTCAAGTGGACCTTGCTGTCCCAACCATTGGCATCCCTCCCATACTTGCTGTTAACAATTGCAATCCAAGTGGCTTCAGGCTCAAGGGGGTATCTCCACAACCATTTCCCAAGGAGGGCAGTGTTCCTTTCCTTGATGTGGCCTATCCCTAATCCACTGGCCTTCTTTGTTCTAGTGACCTGCTTCCAACAAACTAAGTGGCTTTGGCTCCTCTTGTCACCACCTCTGTCCCATAAGAAATCCCGCTGAAATTTTTCTAACTTGTTTTTTTATTTTACAAGGGACTTGGAAGACTGAGAGGAAGTATGTTGGTAGGTTAGAAAGCAGTGACGAAGGGGGAAACATTGACTGAGCGTGGGTTTGAACCTGCAACTGCCTCTCTTGAGGGTCGTCGGAGAGAGCAGTTGGGAAGTCTTTTCACTTTACAAGCCAATAAATCCTTGTACCCGTCTAGAAGGAGCTCATCCACATTTATTCCCACAATGCTGCTCTTGATGAAGTGTCAAAACGTCTTAAGATCTGCTTAAGGTTGGAGATGTTATCCCAGTCAGCTTCCAAAAATAAAATTATGTCATCTGCATACATTAGGTGAGAGACTTGAACCCCTTCCCTTTCTACTTTGAGGCCTTTTAGCAAGCTTAAAACTCTCGCCTTCTCAATTAGGTGGCTGAAGATGTCAACTACCAAAGTGAAGAGTAGAGGGGAGAGAGGGCAGCCTTGCCTTAAGCCCCTGGAAGCACTGAAATAACCAGCTGGTTCTCCATTTAGCAGAACCAAAAACCAGGCAGAACTGATACTGCCTTTATCCATCTGACCCACTTGTTGCCAAAGCCTCTCAAGTCCACTTTATCAATTGCCTTCTCCAAGTCCAGTTTTATCACTAGTCCAGATTTTCCTCTTTGTCTTCAGTCTTCAACACATTCATTGGCCACAAGGACGCTGTCTATAATCTCTCCCTTTCACGAATGCATATTGATTGTTTGAAATTAGCTTCCTTTTACCTCCTTCAGCCTTGTTGCTAAGACTTTGACTAAGATTTTATATAAACTCCCCACCAAACTGATTGTTCTGAAATCCTTTACTTCCAGAGCGCCCTCTTTCTTAGGAACTAGGGTGATAAAGGTGGAGTTATTGCCTTTGTTCACAATTGCTGATTGGTGGAAATCTGAGAAAATCTGTAATATGTCAGATTTGATTGTATTCCAGCAAGTCTGATAGAAAAAGATGGGGAAGCATCTGGCCCAGGGGCTTTATCACCATCTAGGCTGAATACAGCTTGCTTCATTTCTTCCTCATCAAAGAGTCTCTCCAACCGATATTTCTTTTCCTCTGTCAACTTAGGGTCATCACAGTGTGCCAATTTGCTGAGATCATCCTTCATGTACAAGTCCTTGAAGTAATTCACTATAACATCAGATATTTCATTTGGATCATCCATGTCTGATTGCCCCACTCTCAATTTTGAGATGAAAATTTTCCTCCTTGAAGCGTAGCTATGGAAAAATTTAGAGTTATCTTCTTCTTTCAACCAAATCACCCTAGATTGCTGACTCCAGTAGATTTCTTCCCTCCTGACGAACTGTTCCCACTTTTCTTTTTAGATCTTCCCTTCTTTCTCTGCCTTCTCCATCCAAACTACCACACTGCTCCTTTTGGTCAGTCATCTAACTCCTGGATCACCTTGTTCTTTTCCTCTGTGAAAAGTTTAAATTCCTCTTTACCCCAATTTTTTAGCTTGCTCTTTAGATATTTCCGCTTTTGGAGGAATTGGAATCCTGCCTAACCAACCACTCTGTAGTCCTCCCACCAGACGGCCACCTTTTGTTGAAACTCCCTGTGAGTGGTTAAGATTTTCTCTAGTTTGAAAGGAGCCTTTACTTTCCTCATCACTTCATTTTGGAGAATCACTGGCTAGTGATCAGAAATACACCTGGAACTTATTAACTGCAGGAGATTAGGATAATGTTCTTCCCAGTATGTAGTCATAAGAAATCCGTCAAGTCTGCTGCTAATCACATGTTCTCGCATATTTGACCAAGTAAAGGAACCATTATTCAGGGGGAGGTCCCTAAGGTTATGCCTTGTGACAAAAGCAGAGAAATCCTTCATGCTTCTGGTTATCCTCCTACAGTTTGAGTTCTCATTACAGAATCTTGTGACATTAAATTCACCCCCAATGCACCAAGGAAAATCTTTGAATTAATGTAGAGAGTCCAGCTCTTCCCAAAGTCTTGCTCTTTCAAAAGGAGAGTTTGGACTGTAAACACCTGTCAAGATCCATTTGAATCCATCTGTGACATTGGTGAAGAGAACTGAGACGGAGAAGTTTCTTTTATCTACCTCTAGACCGGACACAACCTCTTCTTTCCAAATGACGATAATCCCTCTGCCGCTCCTATAGCTGGAAGAGCTATCCAGTTCCTCCCTCAGATACCCCAAATGGCTTTGATTAATTTTCTATCCATAGTTTCTTTTTTTGATTCCTGTAGGATCAAAATATCAGGATTTTCCCTTTGAGGGGTTTCCTTGACAAGGCGTCTCTTCAATTTCCCTCCTAGACCCCTAACGTTCCAACTCAATATCTTCATTATGGATTTGTCAATTTTGGGGTCCTGATGTAAGGGTTTTCTAGGGTTGATGGTAGTGGTGCAATGGGACTGAGTTTAATAGGGCTTTGTTCTCTCTCGGGTGATTGCTTATCAGTTATCACCTTTCTATGTACTCTTTTATTATAATAAAATTTTATCTTTACCTACAAAAAAATACTGTTTGTATTCTCCTCCATGACAAAACAGAAAGATAAAGTTTGTCATCCACTTCAAATGATGTCATGCTGTGGAAGATAGACCTTGAACACAAGGGTGTCCATATTGAACTTACCTGCTACCAACCCAATCACTATTAACAGCTATTCATTGTACAGGTTGAGGTGGACTGCATTAATCAAATTTTATAGTTGTGTGGGATCCACCGATTATTTATTTTATAAAATGTTCTTAATATATATATGCAATTTCATAAAACAAGGTCATGTGGGACCACCAATGTTTCAGATTTAAATAGAATTAAAAGTTTTGCTTGTTAAATTGAACAAAAATAAAATTTTCATTTCTTCTAGACTTCTAGTGTTTTTTTCTCTCCTATTTCTTGTTAAAATCAAATTCTGTTTCTGTCAAGAGTGGTTGGTCATTGCAGAATGTGGCAGTAAACCTAGAATTTTCCCATTTACCTTAACAACTATGGTTATCAGTGGTATCTGAAGTATGGTTAGTATGGTTGCTAGTGGTAAATACAAGAGTAACAAAAAATATTAGGAGCTTTTCTAATTTAAAGCATATGCTCTAGTTCTGACATAGTTCTTAAGGCACACGGGCAATTCTAGGTGATAGTGGAGCACCTACTAACCGAGTCAACTAGGTTAGTAGGTTAGTTCCTTAGTTTTATATACCAATTAGCATGCATAGAAATTGAAAAATAGCAACTCTCTCTTCTAATCTTAAAACTTTGAAAATGATCATATCTAAAAGATAATAGTTTTTTAAATCTATTAATTTCAATATTTTCAAAAATAACACTATTGTATAATAAATATTGAATATAGAAAATTCATGTCAAATTAGCAACTAAAAAATGCTTTAATTTTGTACTAATAAAACTTCAAGATAGGGTAACAAAAAGAGAAAAGAACAAGGGGTGGAGCCTCTATTCTATTTTATGTAAAAGAGAGTAGTTGTAGAAACAAAAAGAAGAAAATCTCTTATTATACTCTTTTCTTCATAGCTTTCTTGTGCTGATTAAATTAACTTTTATGTTGAAAAGTTGATTCCATTTATTTTACCTCCAAGCTATTTGTAACTTCTTTTTTTTTTTTTTTTCAAGTGATGTTAAATATATCTTTGTGTTGATATTTTCTGGTATACCTGTACTGTTGCTTCCACCATGGCAGGGCTACGTGAATGGTTTGCTCAAACAGATGAAAGACATCCAATTCCGAGGATCCCGGTCATGGTAAATATGACCTCAGATTCTGTTTCCTCAAAGAAGGTTCAGAAAAGCCAGGTGTCTTCTGTTCCACCTGTCCCATCATTGGATCATATAAATGCTGCTAGCAGGAACTCTGTGATGATGGATGAAGACTCGGATGAAGATGAAGAATATCAAATAGCCGGGGAACAAGAGGTTTGTATTGTGCCTATGCTCTCAGAAACTCTGGTGTTTTCTGTCTAAATATGAATTTGTCCACACTTTTCAGGTTGAATCAGATGGGCGAGCGAGTGAAGTTAAACGGATAGGTTGGTGATGATACATCGGGTTCATCCTATTTTCATTTGTAATTTGATGCTTCACCTTTCAAATGATCAATTATAGTGAACTTCTAGTGTGATATTTCTTTGAAACATTGAAATCACAGATGAAGAACCAGCAGAGCAAATTGATTTGTCCTTATTTTCTGGTAATCTACGATGGGATGACCGTGATAGTAGTCGTGATTGTTGGAAAATACCTGGTGCCAACCTTTTTAGTGTCCGCAGCAAGACATTTTGTTTCAACAAAACAAAGGTTATCCTTATGCTTTCTTTGTTACACTTGCATTTGTGCATCTGAGTTCTATTCCTTATTTTATGACTGTCAAGCTTGGGTTGGCTTCCCTATTTTCAATATGCATTTGCAGATTCCTGCAGGGAAGTATCTGATGGAACTTGTTGCAGTTGATTGGTTCAAGGACACAAAAAGGATGGATCATGTTGCAAGGCGTAAGGGCTGTGCAGTGCAGGTATATTGAATAACTTCTTTCCTATTGTTTAAATAGCATCTTTGCAGTAATTTTAGACGTTTTTGTTAAGGGTGCAACCTGAGCCCTGATTGACCCAGCCCACAATTTTACATGGGTTGGGCTTGAATTTTTGGTTGTTAAGTTTGCATGGGCCCAAAAGTTTGGGTTATTATATTTTTCAGGCTGGGCTCAGGCCTAACCCTTAGGTAGCCTGAATCTGGCCTGACCTTATCCCAACCCGAGTCCGGCTCGATTATGTACGTGCATATATGCATATATAGGTGAATATTTGCATGCATACATGCATACATACATGTTTTTTTGGGTAAATCAAACGTATATGCATGCATGCATTGCATGCATGCATATATCAATTAGTGTGGGCTGATTGACCAACCTCAACCCAACCCTGGCCTGAGCCCAACCTAATTGTATCAAATTTTTGTGCAGGTTGGGCACTTGGGCCCAGGTTTGAAAGTTTGGGCTTCACCTCAGGTTTGGTCCAGGTTTGACCATGGTCCAATCCTTAGGGTTGGGCCTGAACTGTCAAACCTGGGTCCAATTCTTAGGGTTGGGCCTGGGTTGAGGTCAAATCCGGACCCAACCCGTCCAACTTGCACCCCTAGTCTTTGTTTTAGTCTATGCTGCACATGTTGTGATGAGTGGGTAAATGGATGTTAAAATCTACCACTAGGTGGGTCAAGAAGTTTGTTTTAAGACCAAGTTGGTCCCAACCAAGTTGAGTGAAGTTGAGAGATTAAGAAGAGATATTGAGGGGGACAAGAAGTTTGAGGTGAGAGGGGATAGAAGGAAAGGGTTGAAATAGAAGTTGGAGGGGTTAGGGCTGCTCTTCAAAATTAAAATGAGAATCCTAAGTTGGAATGTGAGGGGGCTGGGTAGTGCCAGGAAGAGAGCAACAGTTAAAGAGGTGATTAAGAAGTTTAACCCGGATGTGGTATTAATTCAGGAATCCAAAAGAATGGAATTCGATTGCAGATGGGCAAGAAGTGTGTGGAGTTCTAGGGGGATAAAGTGGGCGGCTGCTCCTTCGTGGGGATCCTCAAGTGGGGTTATAACTTTGTGGAAGGAAGAGGTACTAATAGGAGTGGAGGAGCTAATAGGTGATCATTCTGTTTCTCTGAAGTTCAGACAGGTGGAAGATGGGTTTGAATGGGTACTAACAAATGTGTATGGCCCCAATGACTATAGGCAGAGGAAGAAATTATGGGAAGAATTGAGTGATATTAGGGGCCTCTGGGAAGGACCATGGTGTGTGGGAAGGGACTTTAATGTAGTGCGGTTCACAGAGGAAACCAACAACCCTAGACAGAGAGTGACAACAAGTACGAGGAAATTCAACTAATTCGTGGATACTTTGGAGTTGAAAGAACTTCCACTCCTAAATAATAACTTTACATGGTCTAACCTTGAATCAAGGCCAATATGCTCTAAGTTGGATAGATTTTTGTTCTCAATAGATTGGGAGGAACATTGGGGTAATTTAACATCTAGAGCACTCCCAAGGCTTACATCAGATCATTGGCCTATAGTGATATGCAAGGAGGAACTGAGAGGTGATGGACCTACCCCATTCAGGTTTGAGAATATGTGGTTGACCCATCTGGGGTTCATTGAGAAAATCAGAGAGTGGTGGGAGCAGTTTAATCCAGTAGTAGACTGGGAGGGAATGAAATTCCACAAGAAACTTCAGTTCCTAAAATCACAAATAAAGGAATGGAATAAGTTGGAGTTCGGAAGAATAGAGGAAAGAAAACAAGTATTGCTAAAGCAGATTGAGGAATTGGATATGAAGGAAGAAAGGGGATCCTTTGGAGAGGAAGACAGGAAGTTGAGATGGGATCTGAGGAGGAAGATGGAGGATATTCTTGTTAAAGAGGAAATAAGTTGGAGGCAGAAGTCCAGGTGTAAGTTGCTAAAGGAGGGATATAGAAACACTAGATTCTTCCTTTCAGTGGCAAATGGTAGGAGAAAAAGAATTTCATATCAAAATTGGAAGTAGAAGGACCAGTCTTATCCCACCCGGTAGAAATTGCTGAGGCCTTTGTAAATCATTTTAAATCCACTTTTAGAAGACCTTTAAATAAGAGGGTGTGGTTGGAGGGTTTGGAATGGCCAACTTTGAGTGCAGAGAACATAGAGTGGTTAGAAAAGAGCTTTGATCTAGAGGAGATAAAGGAAGTTGTATTCTCAATGGATAGGACAAAAGCTTCGGGCCTAGATGGTTTCACAATGGCTTTTTATTAGGATTGTTGGTTGTTTGTGGAGAAGGATCTTGGGTCAGTCTTTGATGAGTTTCACAAAAGGGGAATAATTAATCCGGGGTTGAACTCAACTTTCATTGCCTTATCCCCAAAGAAGAAAAATGCTTCACAACCAAGGGATTTTAGACCTATCAGTTTGGTGAATAGCTTATATAAAATAATTGCAAAAGTCTTGTCTCTCAGGATAAAGAAGATCCTTCCCCTCATTATTGCACCCAAGCAGGGTCCTTTCGTGGAGGGAAGACAGATCACAGATAAAATCCTCAGTGCTAATGAGAGCGTGGAGAGATTTAGGAAATCTTAGAAGAAGGAAGTGGTCTACAAATTGGATCTGGAGAAGGCTTATGATTTAGTTGATTGGTCTTTCTTATTGGAGGTGTTGAGAGGTTTTGGTTTTGAGACAAGTGGTGTAAATGGATATGGGGTTGTGTTAGGACTTGTCACTATTCTATCTTGGTGAATGGAGTTGTGGTTGACTTCTTTCCTACCTTGAGAGGTATAAGACAAGGAGACCCACTCTCCCCTTTCCTGTTCACCCTAATTGCTGATGTACTTGGGAAATTATAGGGCTGACTCGAGGAATTTAATAAAAGGTTGGCGTGTAGGAAGGGAGGAAGTTCCACTGACACATCTGCAATTTGCAGATGACACAATCCTGTTCTGTGAAGGTGGGGACATAGATTGGATCCGGAATTTGAAATTGGCAATTCAACTTTTTGAGCAGATGTCTAACCTTAAGGCGAACTTTGATAAGAGTTGTGTAGTGGGAGTGAATATGGAGGAGAGGGAATTAAGTGAATATGCAGGTGTACTAGGGTGTGCAATGTCGGATTGGCCTTTGAAGTACTTGGACCTCCCCCTAGGAGATAATTCTAAGAACGAAAGCTTCTAGAACCTGGTAGTGGAGAGATTTGAGAAAAGGCTTGCATCCTAGAAGAAAAATTATCTCTCCTTAGGGGGGAGAATCACCTTGATTAGATCTACCCTAGCTAACCTTCCGGTCTACTTTCTGTCAGTGTTTAAGATCCCCACTAAGGTTTCCAATCTTTTGGAAAAATTAATGAAGAACTTTCTTTTGGAGCCTGGAGAGGAAAAGAAAGACCTAGGGTGAGTTGGGAGGTGGTAACTAGAGGTAAAAAGCTAGGAGGCCTTGGGATAACATTAAGAAAAGGAATATGGCCTTGCTGGGGAAATGGTTGTGGAGATTTACAATGGAAAAAGATAAGTTGTGGGCTAAGATTGTGGCTAGCATACATGGGCCGGAAGACAACGGTTGGGATCCGGGAATCGCTACAAGGGCTACAACTACTCCTTGGAAATCCATTCATGCTTTGCTTCCATCTTTCTCCCCCTGGGTCAGGTATGGTCTTAGCTTTGGTAATCGAATAAAATTTTGGGAACAGACTTGGGTAGGGGATTCACCTCTGAAGGACCAGTTCCCCTCCTTGTATGCTTTGTCAGACTTGAAAAATGAACCTATTTCTTCTTTCTTAGATCCTTTAGATTCCACCTCTGGTTTTGGTTGGAACCTAGGCCTGAAAAGGGCAATTAGGGATACAGACTTGGACAAGCATCTTATCTTTGTTATCCATCCTTGAGAATGTCTTTCTGGATCCTAATAAGGAGGATACTAGATTCTGGACTCCTTCCACCTTAGGCACTTTCTCTTGTGCTTCGTTTCTTGAAACTCTAACTCAGCCTCCTGTCACATTAGGGGTGTCCTTTCCGGTTAAAGAGATTTGGAGCAAGCCCATTCCTCCTCGGGTTGGTAGTTTTTGTTGGGAAATTTTCCTGGAAAGATTTAACACATTTGATTTACTTCGAAAAAAGAGACCCAATTCTTGCTTACTTCCTAATTGGTGTACTCTTTGTAAAGCTGATGGGGAAACTGGTTACCACCTTATGGTTTCTTGTAAGGTTGCTAAAACTGTTTGGGAGTGAGCTCTTTCCCTCCTTGGGTGTTCTTGGAATCCTCCTGAGAGTATCCAGAGGCTGTTCTCTCCTATGTTTTTCAGTTGGCCTAAGAAGAGAGGGAAGATTATGTGGAGGAGCATTAGGGCAGCTGTATGTTGGTCCCTTTGGGAAGAAACAAATTTACGAATCTTCTCAGACATGGACAGATCCCTGGAAAACTTATTTGATCAAATCAGAGCAGTTTTCATACTTTCCTGTGGCTGACTTATTAAGAAATTGGAAATAGATAGCTACTTCTGCTATGTGTAAGAGGTCTCCTAGTCCCTCATGGTCCCCCTCCACCCTCTGGATGTATAAAACTGAATTTTGATGGCAGTAGTTTGGGGAATCCAGGACCTTCTGGGATTGGGGGAGTGTTCAGGAATGAGGAGGGGGTTATTATTGCTTTGTTCTCCGGCCCCATTGGGGAAGGAGACTCTCTCAGGGCTGAGATCCTTGCAGCTCTGGAAGGAATTCAAAGAGCAAGGGAACTAAATATCAGACACTTGGTCTTGGAAGGTGACTCGAAGGTGGTGATTAGCTGGCTGAAGGAAGAGGACAGTGGCTTGTGGAGATATAACAATGAAAAGAAAAAATTCTGTTGGTTGGGCAGAGACATTGAGATACTCTATAGCTGGGTGAAGAGGTCTGCCAACTCATTTGCAGATGGGCTGGCCAAGCAGGGGGTGAATAAGGAGGCTATATTCTGGGCTAATTTTTTACTTTCTTTGTATTCTGTTGTGGGGGAGTTAAGTCTTTTTACCTCCCCTATTGTATCTAAATCTTCACAAATATTTGCATCATTAATAAAGTTTTACTGTTATTGATCAAAAAAAGAAAAAGATGGGACATTTCTTAGGTCAAATGCTGATCCAATTATGCAATCTTCTGGACCAACAAGGGAAAAATAATGGCACAAAGTTCCCCATCCGTTGGGATTCTATTAGGTGAAGTAAAATGTTAGAGAATACAACTTCAATAATCAAATACATACTATTCTGATGAGGCTCGAACTCAAAAACTGATAACAAGATACAAATTGGAGCTACTTTGAGGGAGGCCCAAGCCTCCTGAAATTGAAAATCACACGCACACACACACACAGAGATAGATAGATAGAGAGAGAGAGAGAGAGAGAGAGAGAGAGAGAGAGAGAGAGGAAGAAATCTCTGTTTTCTCTTCTGTTATCCAGATCTCGATCATGCTACTTATAGCCTCTCGATACATCAGATGGAGTCATGCTCATTGCGTGCTTCGGTTAAGGCATGAACTGTGCCTGGATGATGTGGCTTTCTAACATACGTGTACCTGATAGGAGGTTTTCTAAACTGAGTTGGGTGTGAGGTGTTTAGGCCCTGAATTGGCTGGGCATGGATCTGGCCTGGACGAATATGAGCTGGAACTGGACCTTCATGCTGGGCTTATCATATTCACACAATTGGGTAGGCAATTCAGACCTCTTTCTCGATTAGCCCAGTTCAGTACTTGGGTATGAAGGATTTTGCATACTAATAAAAACACAACAGTTTGACTTAGTTCAATCTTAGTGTGATTGTAATGCAGACAGTGGATGAAACAAACAAAAGATAACCAATGAAGGAACAACAGCCACAAATCAATGGGCTTTAACAATTGATTAGAAGTTTTAAAGACTTCAACTGTAGCGATTGATAGAATATAGTTGGTGACCACAGTATCTTGTTAGGCACTTGGTAACATGAAAACTGATGGATAATTTCATTTTTTGTTAGATTCTTTGACATGCTTGAGCTGAAACTTTTATTCTTTTAAGCAAGGTTTGCAGTATTAATGAGATTTTGTTGTAATTTCCCCATTTTTCAAGGTGGTGATACGAAATTTAACAAGATTTTTTTTGTAATATCTCTGATATTTTGATGATATTTCAGATTTCATTAATAGACTATGTACCTTAGGTTTAAAATTCTAGACTATTATTAGAAACATTCTGATTTTTCATTAATATCATCACATTTTTTTAAAATCTTTTCCTAAAAGAACAAATAAGGCTTTGGTGATTGGATGATTGGCTTACCATTTTGATATGATTCAAATAATAATTCAATATGATTCAAAAGTGCGAACAACCTTAGAGACCAATAAAAAGGAAGAAAAATAAAAGAAATATCATTTGTAATCAATCTTTGTTGTTAGAAAGTGGAGAAGAATAGAGAAGTTGGAAAGAATCGGGCTAACAGTAGTCATTTCAAGCTGTGTCAACCCAAGTGCCACCCACTTTTATTAGAATTATAAGAGCTTTGTAAACTTACATTTGTGACCCAAATTGAAGTAATAAAAGAAAAGAATGGAATTACAAAAGTGCCCCTTGTCGACCATGGTATAAAAGAGAAGAATAAACAAAATATAACTTCTAACACTCCCCCTCAAGTTGGCATTAATGTCATAAAGCTCCAACTTGCTACATATGATTTATCCAAGTACGGATTGAGCCTTTGGTGAAGAGATTGGCTAGCTAATTTTATGACCTCACATACGGTGTAACAATTTCTCCACTTGTGACGTTCTCCCTTACAAAGTGGCAATCTACCTCTATATGCTTCGTCTTTTCATGAAACACTGGATTAGAAGAAATATGGATTGCATGAGGCATGCTAGAGGCATATGCCTCATGCGCCTCATGTATGCCTTGTACAAAAGGACAAAGAAAAAAAAAGAAAGAGAAAGTAAAGAAAGTGAAAAGAAAAAGAAGGGGAAATAAAGTTTGGGCTGGAGTCAACATCGCCAAATCACCCCAACACCTCATGCCTCCAGGTAGTGGAACACTTCCCATCACGCCTCCGTGTTTTAAAACATTGTTTCCAAGTAACCTAATTTCCTCCAAGAAATGTGCAATAGCCAGTTGTAGACATTTTGTTAATGATTGATCTTGTGCAAGTTGCATCCGTATACGCTTCCAAAGATAATTCTCCCCTTTCTTAAACAACCCTTGACCTGGAGCAACTTCCTAATGGTTTGTCCTTGGTCTCTTCATAAATTGGCTTAATAACCCCACATTAAAGTAATGTATGGTCTAGTAATGATGAGATGAGTTTTCCTACTAGTCTCCTGTATCTCCCAGGTCATCTTAGAGCTCTCCCTCACTATCAGATATCTTGACATTCAGATCAATAGGAGAGTGTACCAGTTTTGCTCCTAGTAATCTTGTCTTTTCTAACAAATCAAGCACATATAAATAGATACATGCATATGTTTATATAATATTTATATATACAAATATAATGGAATGTTACATTCAGGTTGGGTTCGGTTATCGAAGGCTTTAATCCTAACCAAGTGTGAAGTTATGTCTGATTCTTAGTTTTCAACCCTTACCCCAGTCTGAACTTCAACCAAACCCAACTCTATCCAACTTTTTTGGGTTTAGTTAAGGCTAACCCTGCCCAAGTTGCACTGCTAGTTATATTGGGTGGCTTCTGGGCCTGTGCACCTCCCTGCTCTTGATTTCCAGGATACACCATCATATATCATGTTCCATGATCTTAACCTCATTTGGTCATTAATAAAACAGTCACTGATCAATAAAAAATGAAGTACAAAAGTTTTAATAGATGAATTTCTAAGGTTTTTTCTTATTCATTAGCTTTTGTACCCAGAATGACCTTTTCTTCATCAATTATCTGAGTCCAAACTGCCCCACCTATAAATTGTGAGGTATAGTGAACATTTATGTGAAGTACAAAGAATTAAATACATCTTGACCTATGTACTGATATGGAAGAAAACAAAAAGTACATAAGTTGTGGTTGTGCCTAGACTTATAAATCTCAATTGGTTGATTGTGTAGGTTGCCTCAGAAAAGGGATTTTTCTCACTGGCTATTAATCTGCAGGTAAGGTCTCATTTATATTTATTTATAATGTCATTTTATGCATCTTCTTAGAATGGGAGAGACAGTAACACAGTATCATTACAGGTGCCAGGGTCAACCCATTACAGTATGGTGTTTTATTTTGTAACAAAACAATTGGTGCCTGGATCACTTTTGCAACGTTTTGTTGATGGTGATGATGAGTTCCGCAACAGCCGGCTGAAGCTCATTCCGTCAGTTGCCAAGGTCTGTTTCTTCTACTGTGCACTTCTCAATTTCCAAGACTGCACGACACAGTCCCTTTTGATTTGTAACAAAATCTTTTATTAAGAATCAGAGGAAGTAATTAAGTGGTAAAGAACAGTATAGAAATAGTACAAAATGAGGAAGCTTCATTTAAGACTAACCCAATGATTGGTCCTTCAAATATTTGATCTCCCCACATTTTAAGGAATAGCAAATCTCCAACAAATTTTACTATTCACCACTGATCCAGTGTTTTAAAAACCAACCCAGAGGCTGAACCATTTTTTCCTCTGGATCGTGGGTCAGCCATTTGACCATCCGGGTTGGATGGGTTAGACCGTGGTGTCATCAATTTAAATGAATATATATAAATATAAATATAATATGTATAGACATATATAGGATAAATAATATATAATTACATTCTACATGTAATATATGTATATATATGGTTTATTTTAGGTCTAATTTATGTCTTTTATTTCAGTTTTTAATTTTTTTATAAATAACAAAAAGCTAAAAATCGGGATTTGAGGCCAAAAAGTGTCTTGGAAAAAATGGTAGGGCAGTTTAGATCTTTATCAACAAATTGACCAACTGAAATAAGGTTAGTAGTAAGTTTGGGAACAAAGAAGGTTTTGGTAAGGGAGAGTGAAGACGAGGGTGAGAGCTTCAAACACAAGTCATTACTCTCAATGATATTCAATTTTTCACCATTGGCACTAACAATATGCTTATGATGGGTCTTCGAAGATTTATTTGAAAGTTCGGGGTAGGCTCCAGTCATATGATTGGTAGCCCCTGAATCAATTATCCAAACATGTGAGGAAGAGGAACAATATCCAGAGAACTCGCCAGATAAGATAATAGCAGAAAATGCAGATGAGATAGTACAGGATACCAGTTCTCATATTTCTTCCCTGTTCATGGGAGCAGAAGGTTCACCTTTGATGTTGGGTGCACTAGGTGTGTTAATCATCTGTCCTTCAGATACCTGATAAGTTCGTGGCTGATTCTTCTTCATACTACCTTTGGAGGGACGAACAGGGCAATCTAGAATGATATGACCATGTTGGTTACAGTATGTGCAAACATTCTTCTTCCTGTTGTGTGAAGCAACATGTCCAAAACCTTTACATTGATAACATCAAGTTTTAGACATATCCTTTCCACCAGGTTTCTTACTCCCTTGTGCAATAAAAACTGTTTCAACCTCAGGTTCAAGTTGCTTCCCTTCCAGATTTGCAGCAGCCATAAGTCTAGTCTCCTATCACAGCAACTCTCCCATCACAGAATCTAAATTTGGTAATGTACTCCTACTCAGAATATTGGACCGAATGATCCCGTATTCAGGTCTCAGTCTCATGAGGAAATGATTCACCTTCCTCCTCTCAAAGTGCTTCTATAGATACTTAACACACTCTACTGAATCAGATGGCTCAATGTGAAATAATTCATATTCTGCCCACAAGTCAAGAAAGTGTGCATAATAATCCTGTATCTTTTTGTCTCCTTGGCAATAGGTAAATATTTTAGATTCAATTTGGTACTGTCTTGACATATTGGACTGATGATAGGCCTTCTTGAAATAAAAATACATTTCATAGGCTGTTCGCATTCTCCTCATAGGAATAGCAATGTGAGAAACAACAGAGTTGAGAATCCAAGAAACAATTTTTCCATTGTGAAAAGGCCTTAGTGTTTGATTCATCAGGTTTATTAACAGCCCCATTTAAGTATCCTTTGAGTCCTTTTCCTTCAACAAAGAAGTCAAAATGAAACTTCCACATGCTGTAGTTAGTTCCATCGAACTTCACTGGAATAGTGTCCACCTTTTCGGCCATTCCAATCAAGAAAAATAATCTACAAGAGAAGTAGCAGCCCTGGTAACTAATTTCAAGGTTTCTTAATCTCTACACTTGATCCAGAGATTAACCAACTGCTGAAATTAATGTCCCAGTAATCAACCAAGAGAATCCCTCAGAAGAGACACCCTTGACAGCAAGGCCAAAGCAAACAATATTCACCTCAGTTATGCAATCCACAGAGATATGCCAAGCTGTGAAGGAATTAAAATCCTTCGAAGAAAATGCCAAAATGGATCCAAGCCAGCAGAGTTTCAGAACTGTCGAACTGGAGAGAGAAAATACTCTCCAGAACTGAATCCGAAATACAACCGAGTGGTTTATTGAGTGAGAGTATCCTAGGCCCTAGGGCAACACTAAAACTAGGGTTCTCAGAAACAAAGGATATCCGATTGAGCAGATAGGTCAGATTCACCAACCTGATATGCAGATTTCCAGAAACTGCCATCCAAGAGAGGAGAGATCAGAACTCCCCAAATACTTGTCCAATCACGATGAGATTTTCTAAGTAGGTAAACCAGATCTCGACAACACACCAGTTAAAGTTTCACTTCGAACAGATGCTTCCCCAAGGAGTTCTATGAAGATTTCCCTTGCTGAAATCGCAGAACAAAGTAAACAGGATTAGGGTTGACTGAAACAGCCCTATCTTCAGTTGATGAGTCCAGAAACCAGCAAGGTTTGAGAGGTTAATGAGTGAACATGGAGCAGACAGTCTATGGAGCAACCTGCTCTAATACCATGTCACACAACCAGTTTGAACAAGAGAGCACAACCAGTTTAGGGTGAAAACAGAAACTGTTGACCCCACCCTAGAGAGTCAGAATATATATATAAAATATGGTATTTACAGAAAGGCCCTTGTGGGGCAAAGAAGAGAAAATAAGAAAGAAAGAATACATGATAGTGTACAACAAGGACTATAGAAATAAGGTACAACATCTGGATTCTTCACACATTCAAGTCACCATTCAAAAATTCTTTCTTAACATCAAGCTGGAACAATGGCCAAGAATAACTAAATAGAAGAGAGTAGAATCTGAACTGAATTCAACTCTGCAATTGATGCAAAAGTCTCCATGTAGTCAATCCTATACATTTATGTATTAGCCTTTAGCCACCAATCATGCCTTGTACGGTTCTACCTTTCAATCAACCCGTCAACCATGTATTTGATGGAATCCCCACTTATATCCACCATCTCCTTTTCTTTAGCCAAATTAACAATCTCCCATGTTTTAAGCCCTTAATATTAGTGCACCCATCTCATCTGACATAGCTACTCTCCACTCAGGTCTAGATATGCTTCTGATACATATCTAGGAACAAACTTAGAAGACAATGAGAACAAGGTGGTTGGGAACTCTACACTTCCTGGTCTGTTACACCCAAGTATCTATAAAAACCTTGGGGGTTCAAATTGTGTCTCTGCCATTTGCTTCACATAGGGGAATGTGTCAGTCATTAGGAGATGAAGTTCATGTGGGCAATGGCACGTACATGACCTGTCAAGAAGGTTTCTGCCAGATGACATTTTGGGTTGCCCAGAGTGGAATTCTAAATGTCTCATATATCTAGGAATATCCTTAGTAAAGCCAAACTTGTTAGTAAAGATTCTTCTCTTTCTTTCTTTTCTTATTTCAAGTTCCCTAAGAAAATGACAATAGAACCATGTTCCACAAGATTGTATAGTCCAACTGTTTGTGGACAATCTAGAAAACAAATCTTAAGCTGTTCCATCTATTCAAATGATAAAAAAAAAGATGTTCAATCTATTCATCCATTTAGGGAATCTCCCATTAGGGAAGTTGCATGAATACCTACGTACATATCTATGTATTTTCTGGACAGGATCATCTATTTATCCTCCTAGTTGTCTTACTTTATTGGCTTTGTCTTGTGTAATTGTGTTCCATATTTTTTCCTGATTCTAGGTGTAAAATGATGCAGGGCTCATGGATTGTGCGCCAGAGTGTTGGAAGGACCCCTTGTTTATTGGGCAAGGCAGTTGATTGTAACTACATTCGTGGTCCTAAGTACTTGGAAGTAAGTACTACCTTTTTATCTTTAAAGATACTTGGCTTGTAGTATATGTAAAATGTTATTGCTTACAGAAATTGTCACCTTGCAGATAGATGTTGATATTGGTTCTTCTACTGTTGCTAACGGAGTATTGGGGCTTGTTTGTGGTGTAATTACAACATTGGTGGTTGACATGGCTTTTCTTGTGCAGGTGAGTATTAAGGGATGATCTGGCTGTAAAAATATAAAAAAAATGGTGTATATAAGAAGTGGACAAAGTAGGTTTCGCCACTAAATCTTGCTCACATGAATTGTTCTGTTGAACCACCCAACAAATTCCCTTAGACAAAGCAGGAACAAGATATTGACTGAAGAAACCAAGGTCTTGCTTTTAACAAACAAGGAGTACTAGAAAAATGAATCAGGAACTGCCAAAGATATTCATGAACTCACCATTTATGTTGCATGACCACAAATGTTCATTCCAAGAGAACGATTGCTGCACAATTATCATCCTCTCGACAATAGAAATAAAAACAAGATCAAAATTGTTCAAAAATATGAAAAAAAAATCAGAGGTTGTTACTTGCTTGACCAATCAATTATTATCTTGCAAAGACTTGACTTTTCTACTTACATGATAACCTATAGGATACTTGATTAAATTAAAAATTCTGAAATTCAAATGCCATATCCAATCAGTGATTTAGTCATAATAACTTCCTCAAACAGATGGCAAATCACAAGATCTTGGACTCATTGGATGGGAAAATGTATACTCTTGTTGTCATGCCATAGCTTTGACACCTGGAAGTATAGCCACGTTTTAGAATGCCTCTTAAAGCAGTTCAAGTTAATATTAATTACTGATGGGTGCTTACTAAGCATGAGGACAATATGGAATCAACCACCCCATATAGTTAATACACAGATGTTGAAAACAGATTAGTAATACCAACTGCACTATTGAGTGTTCAACACTACAGAATTCCTGGGGTTTTCATGGGTTTTTTCTCTTTTTTGTTGGTTCTTGCAATGGCCCAGATTCTCTTGTGTGATACTCAGTCCCTCTTCCACGAGTGCACAAGGTTATCAAGAAAAGAAAAAGGGTTATAATGTTTTTGACAAGGATAGAACAGAAAACTACCAATGCCACATTATTCTGGTCAACCTGCTTTGTTCAAAGGGATTACTGTGCATTCAAATGCCACGTCTTTCTCAACCATTGCATTGAATACCCCAATTGTCTTACTTTGGAATACTAGGGCTCTGTAATTATTTCTTATTGCAACATTTTCCATGATCTATCTTGAACTGAGAAGACGCTGCTGTTTCTTTACTGTTGTAGGCAAATACTGTAGATGAGTTGCCAGAGCGGCTTCTTGGTGCTGTTCGTGTAGCACATGTTAAACTGTCATCTGCCAAAGTACCAGTACTAGATTCCAGTCCGGGACCCAATTGACCTGATTGTGCAGCATTTTTTTTATTCTACTTATTTCACAATAGATCTCTCAAGTAACTGATCTAAACTACAGATTTGATTAGATATAGAAGTGCCAATCCAGTACATATCTGATCCACCCACTTCTCATGTACTATAATGTAAGATCACAGATTCACAATGTCTATTTGAATTCTCTCAGCATACACTGAGAAATCACAGAAAGCATTCATTCTTTTTCCTGCAATTGATTCTTTTCTTTTAACAGACAGTTATTCTTCTTTTCTGTTGACTCGCTAAGCGGTTTTAAGAAAAGGTTAATAGTGTTTCTAGCGTTCCACTTTGCAAAGCAAATGGCCAGCGATACAACTAGAGGAAAAGTAACCTAACCAGTATTATGGTTTATGATGCATCTCTTAGAGGGAAATAGCTTTACATCGTCTATGTTGTCTTCGTTATCCACTAGTATTTCTTCTAATGGACTAAGAACTTAATTTAAAAACCAGAGGTCACAGACTCAGTGTCATATAACTAGACACGTTTTCATTTCTACTTTTATGAATAAAATGAACTTGTTTCATACCATACATGCATTGAATCTTATCAAAGCATGATGAAGGCACAGAGAAGCCTTTTAGTCCCTGTTTACTCTTTGGTAAATTTTTCTGGAAACACTTATCCGGGTAAGTGCATAATGTGCATTTACTCATGTTCTTTTATTTCTTAGGTAAATAAGATGATGACCATTTTAGATATAAAAAACTATTATTAAAAAGGGCATTTTTGTCTCATTCAAGTGTTAAAAATTTTAACTCTGTGAGAACTGAGAAAGTTATTTACCCACTTAGGAGATGTGTATCACTTACTCAGTAAAATAAATTTTCCTTGGTGCCCACATAAATTTGAAAACTGAACATGAGATTCTTGGTCAATGGGAACCAAAATCCCACATAAATCAAATGGTCAGGCTGCACGACAATGTATTTAATCTCCTCCCTGAACACAACTTCGAGGCTAGAAGAGATAGGAAAAGACCAAAAAAGACATGCCTAAAAGTAATAAGAAATGGTATGTCTATAATTTAATGATAGATATGGCCCTGGATACTTACCTTCTTTTGATGCATTTCATTAAAGTTAAATTTGGATAATGTTAACTTGTATCTTCACTTTTTACTTGCACACATACAATAGCACGTGTTCTTATACACACCTAGGAAAAATCCATGATGCCAAAAAGACACATTTATGATACTGGTTGATTGATAAAGACATGGTATCAAATGAGCTTTGACCAATCAAAACACCTCGTAAATTCTTATGAATACCACCTGATTAGTCAACTCTTTTATGATACTGGTTTATTGATTATAGGTTTTTCAATTATCATGGCGTCATTCCAACCCATTTTTCAGATATCATGTCTTTCTAGTTATTTATATAACTAGAAAGACATGGTACCAGAAGATCTTTGACCAATCAAAATCCACCGACTAATTTTTGTAGATATCACCTGATTGGTTAACACGTTTATGACAGCAGTTGGTTGGTCATAAATTTTTCAGATGTCATATATTTCCAGTTATATACTTTTTAAATTTTTTTTTCTTTTTCTTTTCCCAGGTTTCCCTAACCAAAACTATACAGCATGCCACTTTTCTTTAGAATGGTCATTGACTCATTGTCAAATGGTTAGAAGAGATGCATTATTTTTTCTTCAATGTGGAAGGCTGGAAGCCACTGGATGATACATCCCAATCCCCCTAGTAGACGACCATTCTTTTTTGTCTATAACCGTCTGCAAACAATTCTTTTTTGCAGATTTCCAATATTTAAGTTTTCCATTACCTAGGGTGTTAATATACCACATTCTCAAAACTTTTTAATACTTAATGAGAGACATGAATAATATAGCACATTAATACAATATTTAGTAATACAAATTTTTTGGGTTTCACACTACAAGTAAATTGGGTTTGGGTATCAGTTACCCTAATGTTAAAACCCAAACAACAGAGCTTTAATTTAAAATTCCAAGCCCATCCCAAATCCTACGGCCACAGGTTTTGATAAATGGGTCCTATTATGTTAAGGACAAAAAGAGTATTTGAAAATTACCACAAAATTATCGTTCCTAATTATCGATTTATCACTCACTCGGTGTAAATTAAAGTTGGTAGCACATGCTGAAAAGAGTTCATAAGAATGGAAATAACCAGTATTTTTGAACCATCATTGACTCAGATGGTTGGATTGTTTGAGCCAGAAATCGTTCAGGTAACTAGTTCCGTTTCACCCTTAACTCATTCTTAGGCCAAAACCCGTTGATTTGGTCAAAGAACCGCTGGCCCAGGCAGTCGAACCATCAACCAGTTCGACCAAGACAGCTGTTTGCATTTAAATGCAGATTGAGAGATGGGGAGAGACAAACCATATTGCAGAGAGAGAGAGAGAGAGAGAGAGAGAGAGAGAGATTGGAGCTGAGATCTCAAATCGGAGAGAAATCTCAGCTCTCAAATCTCAAATCTGAGATCTCAGTTCTCATATCTGAGATCACAGGGAGATCTGAATGGTTGCTAATGCGCTTTCTGTTGCTGTTGCCACCGCCATCGCCATCTCCATCACTGGTGAACGTCAAATGATCCTCCTTTTTCCCTCTTCCTCCTTCTTCCCTCTTTCTCTCTTTCCCTCCTTTCCTTTATTCATTTCTTTCCTTTCTTTCCTTTCCTTTTTTTTCCCTTTTCCCCTTCCTTTTTTTCTTGTGAATTTGGCATCAATTCACTGTTAGGATTCATCCCCCCTGTACGGTGGGACTAAAAAATTCTAACCTGGACTGATCAATCATTCTCCCTTTCTTTCTTTCTTTTTTCTTTCTCAGCTAACAACCACATGTCTCTTTTTTGTAAGACTAAGAGTAATAAAACCCTAATATGCCAATCTTATGAAACCGTCCGAATCATTCAACCTGGGCAATCAAAACGTTGACCTGAAAAGCAATGGCCATAGTTGTCAGTTTCCATGTCAGTTTTTAAAACTTAGGAAATAACCAATTGGACATTTTTGACCAGTTGGAATTTCCTATCCATTAATCTTATCCACATGACATAGCCACACATAGGAAACATCTCCTCTACCTGTACGTTATTATGCATGGGGAGATGTTCCGATGCTGCACAGCTGTAGTGTTTTGTGGGTAGGTATGAATAGAGCTCTTGTGGGTAGAAGATCCCGATTTACTTTTGACGTGTTGCCATACTATATGGATTCCAATGTTCAAAAACAATTTGGATCTGGAATGCTCTTAGATTCCCATATCAACTGATCCAACCGTCCAATCTGATCCGGTTTTTAAAATAATGATCAAAACAAAAAAAGTTTCCTCCATCAAACGGGAATATAAATATTTAACAAGTACATTGAAATATAAATGGATTCGACTATGATATAGAAAAGATATAATATCGGAAAAACAACCGACTAATAAATTGGAATCATAAACGTGATAGTGAATCAGGTGTTAATTATCAAAATTCATGAGTGGGTTTTGATCGGTCAAAGCTCTTTCCATATCATATATTTCCTGTATCATAAATTTTCCCATATATTCTAAAAGGGAATTTTGGAATATAAATATTTAACAAGTACATTGAAAGTAAACTGCCGGAGCCCAAAGTTTTTGCAATAAATGAAAGTTTGGAGGGCTAACTATCAATATCCCCAAAGTTTAAGGTGGTATTCTATAATTTATTTATTGATTCATCCACTTTTTTTAGTCTTTTTTTTTATGCCTTCAACAGATTTTTTAGTCTCATTGCTTTTTTAGTCGTTTTCTTAAGTCTTATGGCTTTTAGTCTTGGATTATATGATTATATGGGAACCATGGCAGGGTGCTAGGTTGTTATGACTTATGAGTTGTGGAATTTGGGCAAATTTATTCATCGTAACATTGATATTGTGAAATGGGTATCTAGAAAACCATAGAAAAATGGTCTTGTTAGGGTGACTTATGACATAGGTGGGTTCATCATTGGTTTTCAAACTTTAGCAGTGCTACATAATCTTGTTTAAGAGATCTATTAATATTGCTTTAAACGTCATCCATTTTTATTTACAAATGGCTTTTTCATCAAAATCTAGAGTCGAAAATGACCCCTTTTATTCTTGGGATAAGTGGATTGCAATCCACCTCAGAAATTTGAATTGCAGCCCCCTCCTAGTCTATTAGTACCCTCCCTCTCCCCCGCCCTATAAACCACATCCTGCCCGTAAATTTGGCATCAATCCATGGGCAGGATTCAGCCCACCCCTAGAAATCTTAGCTCCACCCTAAGAGTAGACCGAAGTATAAAAATTCCTTTATTCTTTAGGGTTGAAATTGACCCTTTTGCAAAGTCCAAGAGTTACAAAAGCCAAAAACTCATTATTTTAAATAACAAACCCAAAATACCAACCCAAGACAACCCGTCAACCTAGATACCATCATCTTCCACACTTGATACATTGCAAACTGGAATATTAGTTTTCCATGTAAAAAAAAAACTTACTTCTCTTCCTAGTACTTGAAGAGACACAACCTCCTGTCCTTGACCTCCTATCCTCTCCATTCTATGCTTTGAGTTTCACAAACAATGAATCATCCTTTATTCATTAGGCTGCGTTTGGAAACGATGCAAATAAGTGTGAATGCAAATTATAGAGTGTAAAACGGTTCATATAAATTGCAAAATTGGGTTAGTTTTGCACTGACAAATTTACCCTCTTACCAAACAGACTTTTAGCTGAAATGGATGCAAACAAGAAGTCTAGTAAAGCATATGCTTTTTTGTTTTTTATCAAAATCCCACTTTAATGCAAATTTACTTCTTTTTTATTGTACTTTTACATCTTATTTTCAATGTAAATATGCATTGATTTGTCATTTGTCAATATATAAATATAATGTTGCCAAACATAGGCAAAAGTGAACGAGATTGCAAATTTACCCTGAACCAGGATTTACACTCCATTTGCATCGTCCCCAAATGCAGCCTTACTCTCATATCTATGGTGGAACATGATACGTTCCATGTACATCATCAGTTGCTTGGCATACCTAAAAACTAAAATGAAAGAAAAATCGAGAAAATGTTTTTGACACACCGAGTAGATTTTTTGGTGGTTATTAATTAGGAACCAAGGTGGAACCCCTATTTTTTGGTCCAAAACGGAGAGAGAGAATTGTACCTTCCCATCCCTGTTTTGTCTTCCAGAGATGAGGACAATTAGAATATTA